ACTCCCCCTCAGGCTGGTGAATAGGTGTTTTCCATTCCTAGCTTGGATACAATCTTCTCAAAATTGTGGCAGCACAGTCCCTTGGTAAGAATGTATTTAATTTGGTCTTGAGAGGACACATATAGAGTGCATATCAAACCACTATCAAGCTTTTCTTTGATGAAGTGTCTGTTTAATTCAATATGCTTTGTTCTATCATACTGCACTGGGTTGTGGGCTATGCTGATTGCTGACTTATTATCACAATAGAGCTTCATAGGTTCTTCCCATTTTATCCTCAAGTCTTCTAAGATGATTTTAAGTCATAGCAACTCACATATACCTTGTACCATGGCTCGAAATTCCACTTCAACACTGGACCGAGCCACTGCACCCTGTTTTTTGCTTCTCCAAGTCACAAGATTTCCTCCAAGAAAGGTACAATATCCTGTAGTTGACCTCCTATCCACAATTGATCCTGCATAATCAGCATCAGTATAGGCTTCAAGCTTCACATTACCATTCATTTTGAATAGAATCCCTCTTCCTGAAGTTCCTTTAAGGTACTGTAAAATTCTATGGGGAGCTTGTAAATGGATCTCTTTTGAGTTATGCATAAATTGGCTAATTAAACTCACTGCATAGGCAATATCTGGCCTGGTATGCGACAAATATATAAGTTTGCCCACTAATCACTGGTACATATCTTTTTCAACAGCAACATCTTCTGTATTTCCAAGCTTTAGGTTTGGTTCTAATGGGTACTAGCAGGTTTGCAAGCTGTCTTGCCAGTTTCCTTGAGCAAATCAGTGATGTATTTCTGTTAGGATATAAATATCCCTTTCTTGGAGTGGGCAACTTCAATTCCCAAAAAAATATTTTAGTTTTCCCAAGGTCTTGATCTCAAATTCATTGTCTAAGCATTAGCTCAACAATTGTTGCTCTTCTTTATTATCTCTAGTTAATATTATGTCATCCACATACACCAATAATATTGTTACTTCCCCTGACTTGGAATGTTTAAAGAACAAAGTATGGTCCCCTTGGCTTTGTTTGTAACCCAGACTAATCATAACTTTAGTAAACCTGACAAACCATGCACGGGAGGACTGTTTTAACCCATATAATGCCTTTTTCAACTTGCAAATAGTGTTGGCAACAACATCTCTACCATATCCCGGAGGTATCTCCATATAAATTTCTTCTTCAAGGTCTTCATGTAAGAAAGCATTCTTAACATCAAATTGTTTCAAGTTTCATCCATAATTGGCAGCAAGGGACAATATCACCCTAACTGTTCATTTTGACAACCGGAGCAAAGGTCTCCAAATAATTAACTCTATAGGTTTGGGTGAACCCTTTGGCAACTAGTCTTGCCTTATATCTCTCAATTAATCCATCAGCCTTGTATTTCACTGTATAGACCCACTTACATCCAACTAGCCTCTTTCCTATTGGCCTCTTTCCTGTTGGTAAGGTGACTAACTCCCAGGTGTTGTTCTTCTCCAATGCCTCCATCTCTACATCCATGACTTGCCTCCATTTTCTGTCAGACAATGCCTCAGATAGGGTATTAGGTAGAAGTGCAGTGTTTAGGTTTACTAGGAAGGTTTTATGGGTAGGAGAGAAATTTTGAAAGGACAGGTAATTTGAGAGAGGGTAGAGTGGCTATTTGGTGCATTTTCTTGTCCCTTTTCTAATGGCAATTGGGAGGTCAAGATCATTTTAGGTTCCAATTTCAACCTGCACAGCTGGAGAAAAAATTGTTACCTCTTTTTGTGGAGTCGAGTTGGACTCTTGAACATGGCTTGATCTTGGAATGACCTAGTCTTCCTTGAGTACATCAGCTTCTTACCAAATTTTCCAGCTTCAACATCTCCTTGATCAATTTCACAATTAATTTCACTTTCTTGACCAATTCCTTGACTTGTTTCACTTGTTACAACTTCAATTTAATCTCGTTTAGGTTCAAATATCAAGTTTGGAAGAATGAGAAAACCAGAATTACTACTTTCAATTTGATCTCGTTTAGGTTCAAATATCAAGTTTGGAAGAATGGGAAAACCAAAATTACTACTTTCCTTATCTTCCCTGAAACTCTCCCCTGAAGATAAAGTTGATGAAAATAGCCCTCTTGTTCATTGAAGGTAACATCCCTAAACACAAAGAATTTTTTGGATGGGGGTTGGTAGTATTTATACCCTTTCTGAGTGAGTGAGTAACCAACAAAGACACACTTTAAGGCTATATATCAAATTTCCTCCTGTCTATACTATGAATATGGACATATGAGATGCACCCAAAAACTCTTGGTTTAAGATTATTTGTAGTGGACAGGTTTGGATAAAAAGACGACAAAGCTTCCATAGGACTTTTTTATCCTAAGACTCTAGAGGGTAGTCTATTGATAAGGTATGCTGCTGTAAGGACAACTTCCCCCCGGAATTTTTTTGGGACACCTTTTTGGAACAACAATGCCCGAGTCTGATTTAATAGATGTCCATTTTTCCTCTCTGCAACCCCATTCTGCTGTGGTGTTTTGACACAAGAGAACTCATGAATTATACCTTCTTTCTGACAAAAAGAATTAAGGACATGATTGAAGTAATCTTTGACATTATCTTACCTAAGTCTCTTAGTATTAACACCAAACTAATTTTTTATCAAAGAGTGGAAGTTTATGAAGATAGAACTGACTTCTGATTTTTTTTTTTAAGTAGGAAAACCCAAGTGATCCTTGTACAGTCATCTATAAAGGTGACAAACCATCGAGCACCAGACACATTTGGAACATTAGAAGGTCCCCATACATCAGTATGAACAAGATAAAAAGGGAAATTGCTAATTTTATTACTTATTGGAAAAGATACACGTTTGTGCTTAGTAAGTTCACACACCTCACAATGAATACTCTCAACATCTAACTTGGTAAATAGAGAGGGAAACATAATTTTGATCACTCCAAAAGAGGGATGTCCCAACTGACAATGATAAAGCATGATTTTTTCTCTATTGGTTATCAAGGTTTCAGATATGAAGGAGTGAGAGATTCTGTTCTTGCTGGAGAGACTTGGATCTTCAAGATAATAAAGGTCATTCCATTCTCTAGCATGTCCAATCATCCTCCCCGAATCCTTGTCCTGAAATACACAATGATCGTTGAAAACAACAACTTTACATGACAAATCCTTTATAAGTTTTTGTATAGACTAGGTTGGTGGAAAATTTTGGGACATGGAGAACATCTTTTAAGGTTATTAATGGATTGATTTGGATATTTCCTTGACCAGCTGCAGTTATAAGGGTTTCATCTGCTGTGGCAATTTTCTTGTTGTTGGGACATGGGGAATATGTGGAGAAGTGTTTGGCTAATGGTGTCATGTGGTTTGTGGCTCTAGAGTCCAATATCCAATAATGGTTAAAAGGTGTATCTAAGACACTTAATCCAAAAGAAAGTGAAAACTCACCTGAGTATGCCAAAGAACACACACCTGTAGGTTTTTTCAGCTTACCAAAAAAGGTTCTCACCCTTTCTATCTCCTCTTCGTTAAGATGGGTAGCAGCTTCTGGATTATTTCCTTCATTTGTTTCTGCAGCAACATAAACTTGTCCTCCTTTCCTTGAGGAGCCTCCTTTGTGTCCCCCTTCTCGATCTCGATTTAAAGGCTTCCCATGTAACTTCTAGCACTTCTCTCAGGTATGACGAGGCTTATTGCAGTAGGTACACCAGAGACCATCACCTTTCTTCTCCACATTTGTTGATCCTTCTCCACATTTTCCTCCTTTCTTCTATTCGCTACCCCCTTTCTATTCAACACTGTACGAACAAGTTGGGCCCACTTCAAATAATTTCTTCCATTTAGTTTATATGCAGAATGAATATTCTGCTGTTCTCCAGATTGTTGGGATTGGGTATTCACTGTTTCTGGGGTTGGGTTCACAACTTCCTCTTCCCTTGACATTATAGCAAGAAAGTGTGATGCAGCAGCAATACAGGTTGTCGTCTTAGGATTAAGAGCAGCAATGGAGGCTGCCGTCTTAGGGTTTATAGTGTGCAGACAGAACTTCCTAGATCGGAAGCTCTAATATCATCTAGAAAATTAGATTAAATGAAATCTGATTTTATTATTTTAATACAAAGAAATAATACAAGATATATTCAGGAGACCTATACTATTTTAAGAAATATAATAACTCTATTTTATTCTAGGATCCCTTGATTTATGAGATTGTTCCTGATTGTTCAAATCTGTACAGATTACAAATTTCCTAATTTATTTTTTCCTAAAATACTATTTGATTTCCCACAGCTCTTTTGTGCACATCTATTCCTACAGTACAAGTTGCCAAAGTGTTCATTGTCACAGTTGTCAAATTACATAGTATGCCTCAGTCCTTTGTCTCTCACCGTGATAAAGTGTTAACAAGTGTATTTTGGCAACAACTCTTTAAACTTCAAGGGACTGCCTTGAAAATGAGCTCAGATAGACGTATTGCCACTCTGAAGCTGTTAATAAGTGTGTTGAGATGTATTTGCATTGCTTTGTCTCATATAACCCTCACAATGGGTGTTTTTTCTTCCTTGGGACTGAACTTTGGTATGATAGATCCTTTCACACTTCCATGGGCAACTCCTTTCAAGATTTTATATAATCGAGACCCTCCAACTATTATTCCAGCCTCTGTCAATGATGATACTCTACCAAATATTCAATCCCAGCTACAACGAGATCTTTTATTGTCCACATTGAAGGCTAATTTGTTTAAGGCACACACTCGCATGAAGTTATATGCTGATCAACATTGTTCTGAGTTACAATTTGATGTTGGTAATTATGTCTTAGTGAAATTACAGCCATATTGCCATCTAACGCCAGGCATGTACTATTTCGGTGCTTTTAAAGTATTGGCATGCATTGGAACAGTGGCTTACCCTTGACTGTCCATTCACATGCAAAAGTCCATTCTATTTTCCATGTTTCATACCATGTCGTGGCTCTACAGTTGATCAATTCATTCCGCTACCCTTGACTTCCCCGGATGACCTTGAGGACAGGGTTCAATTTGAGGTGGGGAGTAATGTAATAGCTCAAGGGGAGATTACAGGTGCTAATAACATCATTCCAAGACAAATGGGGACCACTATTCGGTTAAGCACAGTCGTGTGAGAAGAATTCCTGGAAGGTTGTTTGATTGAGGAGAGTATTTGTGACGTGTGGGGGAGAGACAGAGGGTGTGATGCAATTTGTAAAACTGTTTTGTCTCTTACTTATGGTTTTCCTTCTCTGCCTTCTCATTTTCTTCTTCTATACTACTGTCTTTTGCGACGGCATTATAACTGTTTTCAGTACAAATAATACTATCAGAAGAAGCTTTTCTCTACATCTTAGATTCCTTTGTATATGCTCAGCACTTATTTCAGATAAACTCTAGTTTTCCCTCTCATCTAATCTAACAACTTGGAAGTACTCCATGTTGCAACACAACATGGTCAGTGAGCTATAAAATAGACATCACAAGTAAAGAATGAAATCTTTTATAACATTAACAAATAAAATGGTAAGTTCAGACAGATATTTGTATACAATTAGCTACGTAAGAGAAAGAAAAAGGAAAAAGATATAAAGTTAAAATGATCATAATGGCATACATTGAATTCAGTGTCATGTTTTCGCTTAAGTGCCTCAACATAGGTTCCCAAACCAGCAGCTGAATAATATGAAATCAAAGAAGAGCTTGCTTAGACAAATTACCAAGTCTACTTGTAAATTGATAATACAAAACATCTAGTTTAAATACACGAACATACATTGAAATAATTCCTGTTAATGAATACTAAATCAAAAGATTAAGAATCAGTATGTGAACCAAACCAAACCTGGGTCAATTGGACCAGTGGTTGACAATGTAATCTCCTGGCCTTCTGAAATAATATCAACTTGCAATATGCGTCCAACGTCAAAAGGTTCAGGGGTATAAACTGACTTGGTAGCTCCTGATAACAGAAACGATTTATTACATTATAGGCAAGGGTAGAACTGATGCTAGATATGAAATTTAACAACAATTAATATTCCACCACAATGCATCTCAAATGTACGCTTTATAGATTAAGCCTTTCCAACAATTAAGACGGGCTAAAACAATGTATAATAGCCTCAAAAATAGTCACGTGCTAAGGGAGCGAGAAGCGTGAAAATAACCAAAAAAACCGTAAAGGATGGGAATTTTTTTCTCACAAGATCAAAGGGACAAAGATTTTGGGAGACATAATCGATTATGTTTGTGACATAATTAATTATGTATTGTTTCTTCAGATTTAAAATGACTACATAATCTTATGTAGATTTTTTTTTTTTTATTTCAAGTATTGTTTTAAATATAATAAGTGAATAAATTCGTAATATATAAATAACAAAATTAAATAAAAATACTTTTTCTCTTCCTTTCTCTTTTTTTCACTCCCTCACTTTCCATCTTTCAATCCAAATACAGGCTTAGAGGCTACTTGATTTGCTATAATTCTATAAAACACTATAGAAGCGTCCTAACGAAGAATTAGTGTTAATGTCAATACCCAACCATGGTATACAAGAAGTAGATAACAGTGTAAGCAATGAATCAATTGATTTGCATGATCAACTTTAAAGAAAAGGCAATCCAACTGACAATGTTGGCCTAAAACTTTATCATTCAAACTGCAAAACCTTAACAATTTCTACCTGAAATAAGTTCTTTTTTGGCTCCTTCAGCTGCTACACGATACCACTGAATTGAACACTTTGAAAGTTTAGGGGCATTATCAGAGCAAGGTTGAATTTGCAAATAAGAACCCAGGGTTTCATGTCCTTCTAATTCATATAAATGGGGAACATTTTCCTCTCCTTTCTTTGCCCTTGATAACTGAAAAGTGATATGAAAGAAAAGTGATACGAAAGAAAACCAATGATAACTTACCAAGGAATACAATCAGATCACTCCTCAATTTTACCAAAGAAAAATATCATTCACCTCAACATAAGTATACTTCAGTAATGATGTCCAAACAATAACCATTACCATATAAGACCTTTGAAAATCTACTATATCTCACATTATAGCCTTGAGGAAGGAATATGAAAGATTTGAATATATTTATTTCATTTAATCATTATTTCCAATAAGTGATCCTCATTAGGTTTAAGAATTTGATGATAAGATAGATACTAGTGTGTATATACACACACACATCAACATATGCATGCTATACACACAAAACACATATTCCATACTGCACAATAAACAAGTAATTAGTCAAGTCTTGGACATTGAAGTAGTGTACTTCACAAAATCAGTTAATGGCAACAAATCACAACCACTTCCAAATGACATGAGATCATATGCATACCTCCTTTTGTAGACGAAGATAAAGTCTAGACTTCTCGGCAAGTTGAGCCCTTAATGCTCGAAGCTCATGTTCCATATCCATAACCTAAAATCAATATATAAACAATGAAGATGGGGGATTAGGGTACTACAGCGAATAGAAAATAACATTTAAAATAATAATTGATCTATGATGAGATGAAATAAGAACAAAGGAACAATGCATACCTTGCTTGGCTGATGCAGCATTTTGATTCTCCGAGCCTCTTGAACCTCCTTCATTAAATGATCCAGGTCCTGAAGTTCCCATAGAACCAAATTTTGTTAAAATGAAAAATACTTAGTTGATGCAGCACGTCAATATCAACAGTTACGTGTTCAACTAAGCAATGAATTTTATGATTATTGAAGAGTTTTTCTTATTTGATAAATTGTTATAAAACAAAATAATATACAAGAGCGAGTGAGTAAAGAATAACTAGGGGAATACTAAAAAGATGTGGGAAAGAATCAATAATGCATAAGGCTGTCCAGTCTCTCCATACATCAGAAATGGTGCAAATGCCCCTGAAACAGTCAAGAGCATGCACAAAAGAGAAGAACCAAGCAGTGACAAAAAAGAATCCATGGTCAAAAATTGGCCCTGAAGATAACACGCATTCTTTTCCAACCTCATACACCAAAAAAAGAAATTCAAACGCTGCATAAAACTACCAATCTGTTATCCTTGTTTTATCCCCAAAACTTTAGAAAGAAATGATAAACTCATTGGAGTTAAGTGCAGGGCCGCACCCAAGATTAGTTCAGAATACCAGACATCTTATTCCAAAGGAGAGATGTCGACCTACATATACACTCTAGAAATATATTAATTAGTAATGCAGTCTAGATGAAGGACTATGTCATATAGGGAGTTTTAGTTTTCATTTGAAATTGTCTTAAGAAAACATTTTCCATGTTAGGAGACAGGTCAAGAAATTGAAAATACACACAAAACTTGAAACACTACATATGAATCAATTTGTTGATTGGAAGAATATGAGCAATTCCTGCCAAAGCAAGAAGGATTGAATCACATTACTCTGCCAGCATTCAGTGCTCTTCAAAAATTAAAATTCAAAGGAAGAATATATTTAAAATCATGAATAGAGTTCTGTAATTTTGTAAACACGATAATGATGTAGGCATGGAAATACATACGACAAGAAACATCTGTTACTGAAAAAACCACCAGAAATTTGGCATGAGAAACATCATCTAAACCAAAAGAAACAAAAATGCTCCAATAGAACTACATTCCACGCAGATAATTTGCAGATAGATGGCAACTGAGCATTAAAGCTCATGTAACAAGTTGGAATTTGGAAATATCAACTGAGAACTTACCTCAATAAAGGACTAATAATTTCATATATCATAAAATTGACTATATTCAAAGCAATTGTGTTTGAACTAGAAGGAAAAATACATTTAACATTATAGAAGAAGGAATGATCCAAACCTGCTTCCCTGAAGCTTCAGACATTCTATCGTGCTCCTGAAGGGCCTGCTCAACTCTCTGAACTGCTGCTCTGGCATTTTCTATTTCAAAACGAGCAAAAGCTCTTTCCTCATTCACAAGTTTCTTAGCATCTTCAGAAGCCTACAAATGAATCTAAAATCTCAACAGTGGAAAAGAAAGTTTATAATGTCACTCAATCTAACATTCATTCATATTAAACAATACATTATGCCAATAACATGTTGAATAAACTGAGAGGTTTCATTCCCCGACAAATTAGATGACCAATAGACTGATGATACACTGACCGACAAAGTAGCAGCCTTGAAGTACACAACATTCTTGGAACCAAATTTATTAAAAGAATCATTGTTGTTTTAAGGACTTCTATAGGAGTCGTCGAAGGATCAGAGTACTGTTTTATGTTAATGTTTATACTAATGCTACTGTTCTTGTTTTGCTTTCTCTTCTTTTCTTTTTTTTCTGAGTTTAGAGTAAATAAAATATGCTTCTTTTGTACTGTTGGAAGTCCCACATCGCCTACTTCATGTTATTTGGTATGATTTAAATACATGTTAGGTTACTCCACATATAGCCAATTGGTTTTATGTTGGAACCTTAACATTGTATCAGAGTCAAAGCCTAACATTTTTCCGGTTGTTGTCTTGGGCCAAAAAGTTGTCATTTCGTTGGGTCAAAAAGTACCTTTTGCTTGGTCCAGCAGACTTCGTTGGAGGGGGCGTGTTGGAAGTCCCACATCGCCTACCTCATGTCATTTGGTATGATTTAAATACAATTAGGCTACTCCACATATGACCAATTGGTTTTATGTTGGAACCTTAACATGTACAAACATTTAATTTTTATTTCTCATCAAATTGTAGCCTATATCACAAAAAAAGTAAAAAGAAATACATCACCTGCTTAAGAAAATTTGTTAGCTTCTTCACCTCAGCCTTCTCTTGAATTAGTTCCCCTTCCCTTTGTGTCAACTGAACTGCTAGAGCTTCAACCTGCAGAATGCACCAAATAAGCTCAGTTGATTAAAATCACAAATATGCATTTATTCTGACTTATCCTGACAGAAAAAAAAAAAAAAAAAGAGAATATGAACATACAAGTGTTCTTGACAGATATTTGTTGACGCAACTCCTTTAGAAAAATATAAACATCAAGAGAAGAAACTTCTTTTTGTCCCATTTTTTTAAAACAAAAAAAATGTAATATAATTATTTATTTGGCTTAATTAAATTATTTAATTAGGCTTAAACAATAAAATAAATGCTTTTTGTATAAAAAATAAAATAAACTGGGTTGTTAGATAAAAAAATAAAAATAAAAAAATAAAGTTAGAAAAATAAAAAATATGATGCAAACCACATAGTGTTATCAGCAAAGAGACAAAATATGGAAGAAAAACGGGAGGGATTTGATTACTTGACTGAAACAAATAACAACTATGCATCAAGATATATTGCCTCAAGATACCCCATAGCACTGCTCAGTATTACAAAGTGATATTCTCTCTCCATACCCGTAAAGCCGAATACCCCCAAGATGATCCCCTTGACAGAAACAAACCTACTATATAGTTAATTATTTTCTCTCCCCTCTAACTAACTTCCACCTCAGCATATCTATTTTCCTTTTCCTATTTTCTTCTCCCTTCTCTTGTAAACCAACCACGTCTTGTGCTTTCTGGCAGCTTCATGGATCAATAATTCTTCCAGCCCACTAACTTTCTCCTTATCCCCATCATTGCCACTCTCTTGAAAATTGCTCCTGTCCTCAAGATGGAGATGAGGGAACTGACTTTTGATCATAATGGCATCCTCCCATGTAGCTTCCTCGGCTGGCTTTGCTGCCCATTGCACCAACAATTGCTTCACTTTCTCTCCGTGTTTTAAGACTTCTCTGATGGATAAAATGGAAGTAGGATTCCAAAGCTCTGCATCCTCTTCTCCCAATTTAGTAGGTAGTTTTGATTGAGTCTGGTAGTTGCCAATTGCTTCCTTCAACAATGATACGTGAAAAACTGGGTGTATTCTTGAAGTGGCTAGTAATTTCAAACAATAAGCCACCTCACCAGCTCTGCTCAGCACTTCAAAAGGACCATAGTACCTTGCTGCAAGTTTGGTATTGACCCTGGAAAAAAGAAGAAGTTTGTCTATGAGGACGTAATTTCAGAAAAACCAATTCACCTACTTCAAATTTCCTCTCTTGTCTTTTGAGATATGCTTGGTTCTTCATTCTGACCTGAGCCCTTGTAAGATGCTCCTTTAGTTGTCTTAAAATTTCATCTCTATCCCCCAACTCCTGTTGGACTGCTTCTACCCTTGTTTCTCCTTGGATCCCCCTTACCAAAGATGGAGGTTTCCTCCCATACACTGCCTCGAAAGGAGTCATTTGAGTGGACTCATGGTAGGATGTATTATACCAATACTCAGCTCACGGAAGCCAAACCACCCACTGTTTGGGTTGATTAGTGATAAAAAACCTCAAGTATGTCTCTAAGCTCCTATTCACCACCTCTGTTTGACCGTCCGATTGTAGATGATAAGCAATACTCATGTTAAGGGTTGTGCCTTGAAGTTTGAAAAACTCCTTCCAAAATTGACTTATGAAAATGGGGTCTCTGTCACTGACTATGGAATTTGGAACTCCATGCAACCTCACTATTTCTTTCACAAATGTTTCAGCCAATGTTCTGGCTGTGTAGGGATGCTTAAGTGGCACAAAGTGGACATACTTTGTTAGCCTATCTACCACTACCAAAATTGCTTCATATCCCTTAGATTTAGGCAGGCCCGTAATGAAGTCTAAAGATATATCTTCCCAAACCTTTTTTGGAATTGACAAAGGTTGTAGCAACCCTCCTGGTGTAGTTGCTAAATATTTTTGTCTTTGGCAAGTGTCACACGCTCTCACATATTGTTTCACCCTCCTTTTCATCCCCTTTCTAGTATATGTTAGCCGCCAACCGCCTATAGGTTCTGAAATAACCAGAATGGCCCCCTTGAGGAGTCACATGAAATTCTTCCAAGATTTTTTGAATCCAATCAGAATTTGCAGCTACCACCAATCTGTTTTCAAATAATAGAACTCCGTGTTGGTAAGTTAAACCAGCAGGAACCTCTTCACTTTTCTTGATCTTTTCAATAATTTCCCTTAATTTTGTATCCTCATGCACTTCAGCCACAATGGCTAGACTATCCATACACACCGAAAGATACGTAAGACTCCTTAATTCACCACTTTCCATCTGTCTTGATAAAGCATCAGCCCCTTTATTGTCCACCCCAGGCTTGTAAATTATATCAAAGTTATAACCCAACAATTTAGCTATCCAATTCTGCTAGTTACTAGAGATAACTTTCTGTTGAAGGAGCTGTCTAAGACTCTTATGATCTGTCAAAACCGAGAAATGCCTCCCAATAAGGTAAGGTCTCCAATGGTTCACTGCAAGAGCTATGGCCATCAATTCTTTCTCATACGTGGACTTGTTCAAATTCTGAGTACTAAGAGCCTTACTAAAGAATGCCACTGGATGCTTGTCTTGCATCATTATTGCCCCTACTCCCAATTCGGAAGTATTGAAAGTCCCACATCGCCTACCTCATATCATTTGGTATGGTTTAAATACATGTTAGGCTACTTCACATATTGCCAATTGGTTTTATGTTGGAACCTTAACATGGTATCAGAGCCAAAGCCTAACATCTTTCCGGTTATTGTCATGGGCCAAAAGTTGCCCTTTAGTTGGGTCAAAAGTACCCTTTGCCTGGTCCGGCGGGCTTCGTTGGAGGGGGTGTGTTGAAAGTCCCACATCGCCTACCTCATATCATTTGGTATGGTTTAAATACATGTTAGGCTACTCCACATATTGCCAATTGGTTTTATGTTGGAACCTTAACAGGAAGCATCACACTCCACCACAAATTCCTTGTTGAAATTCGGCAATACAAGCACCGGAGCTGTAGTTAACCTTTTCTTCAATGTGTCAAAAGCTATTTGAGCCTCATCTCCCCATTTGAAGGCATCCTTCTTAGTCAATTCTGTCAAGGGTCGAGCTATTTACCGTAATCACGAACAAACTTTCTTTAATAACCCGTCAAACCAAGGAAACCTCTTACCCCTTTCACATTCTTGGGGATTGGCCATTCAATTACACTCCTTACTTTCTCTAGGTCCACCGCTACTCCCTCTTCTGATTTGATATGTCCCAAATACTCCACTTGCCTCCTTGTCAAGAAACACTTCTTTTCATTGGCAAACAAAACCTGCTCTTGCAAAATTTGGAATACCTCCTCTAAGTGTTGGATATGCTCTTTCCAACTTTTAGAAAAGATTAAAATGTCATCAAAGAATACCAAAACTGATTTCCTCAACTTACCTCAAAATATATCATTCATTAGACCTTGAAACATCGAAGGAGCATTCATTAGCCCAAAGGGCATCACGAGGTACTCATAGTAACCCTCATGTGTCCTAAAGGCGGTCTTTTCTATGTCTTCTTCTCTCATCCTAACTTGATGGTAACCAGATTTTAAGTCCAATTTTGAGAAGAACTTTGCCCCATGCAACTCATCCAACAGCTCCTCAATAACGAGAATTGGAAATTTATTCGGAATAGTCACCTTGTTCAACGCCCTGTAGTCTACACACATCTTCCACGACTTGTCCTTTTTCTTCACCAGAATCACCGGACTAGAAAACGAACTGCTGTTGTGTCAAATAATAACTCCATTATCACATAATTCCTTGACTTTGATGTTCAATCTCGTCTTTTTGATGATGTGCATATCTGTAAGGACGCATGTTGATTGGGCCTTGCCCCGGATTCAAGGTGATGCTATGTACTTTGGTTCTATTAGGGGGCAAACCCTGAGGTTCTTGAAAAACATATTTAAATCGAGTCAATAAGCCTTGTAAATCCTGCTTCTGCATCTGGTCCAGCACTGTCACCAACTCACTTTCACTTTCCCAAACTTTTGCCACTACCTTCTTAATAGAAATCATTCCTTCTAGCGAGTTAAGGGTGTCTTGTTTTTTATTATGCTGCGTTGTTCCTTTTAACTTGACCCATTCACCATTATGCACAAAACTAAGACTGAAATTTCCAATCAATAATCATCTCCCCCAAGGAAGCAAGCCATGAAATTCCCAACACAACGTCAATATCTTCAAGATTGAACAGATAGGCGTCTAACACAAACATCCGATGGCCCAATTTAATATGAAGTTCCCGACATTTTCCACGCGTAATTGATTTATGGCCATCCCCCATCAAGATCTTCAAGTCTTTCGTCTCTTCTATCGACCATCCCATTGCCTCCACTAAACTTCAAGAGATAAAGGTGTGAGTGGCTCCGCTATCCACCAAAACACATACAGGAATGTCATGAATTTCACCTTCAAGCTTCAATGTTTTCGGTTGCGACATGTCCTCAACCTGGTGCCACATATTACGCAAGTGAAGAATAGAACATTCTCCATCAATTCGGTTCGTATCGTGCAAAATCACGTACTTAGAATCAGAATGATCATCGTTGATATCTCCTTCATCAGTCAGCATTAACTTCAATTGTTTTTCCGGACAAACATGTTGAGGTGAATAGGTTCCACCACATTTAAAGCAGAGGTCATGTTGCCTTCTATCCATAAGCTCATTATATGACATTTGTTCCATCCCATGATCTCTTAGTCCACCACCATTTCGTCTTTGCACCACCTCACGTGAATTGAACCCCGGTCCATTAGTTCCACCTGTGAAAACCTGACCCCTAACCCCTTTCTCAATTTTTGTTTGACTTCTAGATACCACACTTGTATTGGGCCTTGTAGGCCAATGCGACCCACGTAGATCCATCCTTCCTGGTGAAAAGACCGATCTACCCTTACCCCTAAGTTCCACCTCTACTGTTCATGTGATGTTAAGCAAACGTGAATGAGTCATAGTCCCCATAGCTTGCATACTCCTCGCACGATCACGAATATCTTCCTTCAATCCACATGTAAAGAATGAAAAATACTG